TCATCCATGCTGTGCATGTAGCAATGGTTCATTCCTTTTTCTTGCTGAACTAGATTAATTGCACAGATGTATCACAGTTTGCTTATCCATTCTACAATTTTTTAAAAAATATTTTTAGGTCAGGCGTGGTGGCTCACGCTTGTAATACCAGCACTTTGGGAGGTGGAGGTGAGAGAATTGCCTAAGCCCAGGGTTCGAGACCAGCCTGGGCAACTTGGCGAGACCTCGTCTCTACAATAAATCAAAAAATTAGCTGAACATGGTGATACGTGCCTGTAGTTCCAGCTACTTGAAAGGCGGAGGCGGAAGGATCGCCTGAGTTCAGAAGGTCGAGGCTGTGGTGGCTGTGAGCTTGCCACTGCACTCCAGCCTGGGCAACAGAGTGAGACTCCAACTCAAAGAAAAAAATTTAAAAATATTTTTGTAGAGGTGTGGTCTTGCTATGTTGCCCAGGCTGATCTCAAATTCCTGGCCTGAAGCAATCCTCCCACCTCAGTCTCCCAAAGTGCTGAGATTACAGGCGTGAGCCACTGCTCCCGACCCCCATTTTACAATCAATGAACCTAATATCCTTTCAGTCCTTCTCCTCTCCTTCATTCCCATGGTCCCTGACCTGGCCCAGGCATCTCCTCCTTACACCCAGGTCTGCACCCCAGCCTTCTTCTTCTTGGTCTCTGGCCTCCAGTCTCACAACCTCACATCCACCCTCCACACAGCACCCAGAGGAACCTTTATAAGGCCCACAATGTGTTACTGTCCTGCTCAAAATTCTGCTATGGCTCCTCAGTACTCCCTGGGGAATATCCAAACTTTTTTATTGGCTTTCAGATTTGGTTTGGTCTCATCCCCAAGCACCCCTCCACCTTCACCTCCCACCTCCTCACTTTATATTCCAAGCAGCAGCCACAGTCTACCTGCCAGTTCCCTCAATGTGCCAAGCTCTCTTTTGCCTCCGAGCTGTTGTATTGTCTTCTCTTTGCCTACAATACTTTCCTCAAGACCTTCTCTTTTATTTATCTATTTTAGAGATGGGGTCTCACTGTCACCCAAGCTGGAGTGCAGTGATACTATAATATCTCAGCCTCCTTATAGCTCAAGTGATCCTTCTGCCTCAGCCTTCCGAGTAACTGGGAGACTATAGGCATGAGCCACCATGCCCAGCTACATTTTAAAAAATTTTTTGTTCTAGTTGTTATTGTTTTGAGTAGAAGTCTCATTCTGTTGCCCTGGCTGGAGTGCAGTGGCACACTCACAGCCACCACACCCTCGACCTGTTGGGCTCAGGTGATCCTTCCGCTTCAGCCCTCCAAGTAGCTGGAACCACAGGTGCACAAACCATGCCCAGCTAAGTTTTTTCAATTAATTGTAGAGATGAGGTCTCACCAAGTTGCCCAGGCTGGTCTCAAACCTCTAGACTCAGGCAATCCTCTCGCCTACACCTCCCTACATGCTGGGATTACAGGCGTGAGCCATAGCACCTGGCTCAGCTACATTTTTAAAAATTTGTGTCAAGAGACAGGGTCTTGCTGTGTTGCCCAGGCCAGTCTTAAACTTCTGGCCTCGAGCGATCCTCCTGCCTCAGTCTCCCAAGTAGCTGGGATTACAGACGTGTGCCACTATGCTCGGCTCTCCTCAGCCCTCTTGTTACCTGCCTTACTTGCATTTAGTCTGCCAGTCTTCATACAGATGTCTCCTCCTCAGGAAACCTTGACAACCACTGCAGGGTAGGTAAGTCATCTCAGCCAAGTTCCCACAGTCCCTGACAGCTCAGACCACTCTGCATTTTAACTTTAAAAGGTCTTGAGTTCTTATACTTCAGTTCCAGAAACAACTTTGTCTCTTGTCTCTCCAGACAAACAAGAACATATTTGTTAGCAAAAAGTGGAAGCTCTTTCAACAAACATATTTCCCCTATTGCCTTGGTGGCTGGGAACTTCTGAGGGACGTTTAATACTAACCTAGGTCATAGATAGACACCTGGTGCATCTGTATACACACAATGTTGGTTCTGGCCAAGTGCAGTGACTCCTGCCTGTTATCCCACCCCTTTGGAAGGCCGAGGTGGGAGGATCGCTTGAGCCCAGGAGTTTGAGACCATCCTGGGCAACATATAAAAATTATCCAGGTGTGGTGGTACACTCCTGTAGTCCCAGCTACTCGGAAGGCTGAGGAGGGAGGATCGCCTGCGTCCAGGAGATGAAGGCAGCTGTGAGCTCTGATCATGCCACTGCACACCAGCCTGGACAACAGAGTGAGGCCCTGACTCAAAACCAGATATTGGTTCTATTTTAATATTTGTTTGACATGTGCCAGCCTTTCCTCGGAGCTACAAGTCCCTCAGATTGACCTTCTCCTACGACTCCTTCACCCCAATGTCCACGGGTACCTCCTTTCTATTGAATCAGCAATCCACTCCTCTCTTCCAAACTCCTCCAACGTGCTCCCTGGAACTATCCTCACCTTGTTAACAACCACACCCCCTCCTCTGTTTCTTCCTTGCTAACCTCCTGCTTCGCATCCTTACCTAAACCCTGCCTGGTCCTAAGAACACTGCTTTCCCCGCAGCCCCTTCTAATTCAGCCCTCTCTTGTTTTCTTGTGCCCCATATTTCTCCACACTGAGGACTGAGAGCTAATTTCTCTCTTGACCAAGATTCTTCTGGGTGCAAGCATCTGAAATCCACTCAAACTAATCTCAGCACAAAGCAATAATGAATAAAGTAATATTTAACAACAATAGCAACAACCAAATGGTTGTTCTGATAGTCTAAGAATTAAATTGGAGTTCAGGTGTGGCTGAATCCAGGGATCAAGTGCTGGTGTCAAGACTGTCTTTCACAGTTGTTCATTTCTGCTCTCCTCTGTTTTAAACCTCATCTCATAAAGTTCTCTCTTTGCAGCAGTATGAGCTCCATCCCAGTCTGGCAACTCTAGCACTTTGGGAGGCTGAGGTAAGAGGATTGTTTGAGCCCTGGAACTCAAGACCAGCCTGGGCAACATAGCGAGAACTTGTTGCTACAAAAAATCAAAAATTTAGCTGGGCATGGTAGCACATCCCTGTTGTCCCAACTACTCAGGAGTCTGAGGTGGAAGGATCGCTTGAGCCCAGGAGCTAAAGGCTGTGGTGAGCCATGATTGTGCCACTGCATGTCCCTGGTTGACAGAGACCCCAACCCCCAAAAAAAAGAAAAGAAAAAAGAAGGGCCAGGCGCAGTAGCTCAAGCTTATAATCCCAGCACTTTGGGAGGCAAAGGTGAGAGGATTGCCTGAGTCCAGGGGTTCAAGACCAGCCTGGGCAATTTCACATGATGGCATCTCTACAATAAACCAAAAATATTAGCCAGGCATGGTGGTACACGCCTGTGGCTCCAGCTACTCGGAAGGCTCAGGCAGAAGGATCATCTGAACCCAGCAGGTGGAGGTTGCGGTAGCCATGATCATACCACTGCACGCCAGCCCGGGTGACAAAGTGAGACTATGACTCAAAAAAAAAAAAAAAAAAAAGGAAAGAAAGAAAACCTGTTCATTGCAGCATATGTCTCAGGGTTGATTCTCATTGGGCTAAGTTAGGTTACATTCCTTCCCTGAACTAATCATGATGGCCAGAATAAATAACTGGATAGGTCTGGATCCTATGTCCATCCATGGAGTTGATGAGGGCCAATGTTAAGGGCAGCCCCATTCAAATTAAATACAAAGGGAGAGAAGGGGTTTCCCAAAAGAAAAGGTGTGAGATGGGGAGCCATGTGAATTTCCGGGGACAAGCATTCTAAACTGAGAGAACAGTAAATGCAGACCTTGAGGTGGGACCTGCCTGGTAAGTTCAAGGTTCCGTAAGCCTTCTTCTACTATAGATTTCTTCTACGGTAGCCTCTTTCCTGCCCACACCTGCCCCCAGAATATTGGTCTCACACACACACACACACACACACACACGGTTGCTTACTCAGTTGTGCCTTTCGCACTCCTCGATAACTTTGTCCCTCTCCCTTTTTACTTGACTAGTTAAAAGGATAATTTTTAAAAGTGGGTGTAAGCCGGACTGGGTGGCTCAGCCTTTATTCCCGCGCCTGTGGGAGGCTGAGGTGAGTGGATTGCCTGAGCCCGCACGTTCGAGACTCACCTGGGTAGCAAGAGCTCATCTCTACAATAAATCAAAAAATGAGCGGGGCGTGGTAGCGCATGCCTGTAATTCCGGCTACTCGGAAGGCTGAGGCGGAAGGATCGCCGGATCCCAGCAGGCCGAGGCTGCGGGGGCCGGGAGCGGCCACTGCACTCCAGTCTGGGCGACACAGTGAGACTCCAACTCAAAAAAATAAAAAAAAGTGGGTGTGATTGAGTTAAAACATACTGACTCGACACAAGCTTAAGTATTCATCAGTGGGACCTGAAAAGGGAGCAAACGGTCAGGGGGGAGGGGGGGAGGCAGGGTTGGGGTACAGAAAACGACAGCTCGGATGAATGGGGGCGAGGTGGCTTAGGGGTCGGGAACGGGAATGGTGGGACCCGGAGGGCGAGGATTTGGGGAACTGGCGTGGGGTTGGGAGTTGAGGAGTGGAGAGGAAAAGTGGGGGACTCCGTGGATACGGAAGAAGGGACAGAGGAGGCAGGGCTGGGGTGGGATTGGAGGTCGCGGGGTCGAGAAGGAGCTGGGGTAGAAAATGCAGGTGCGAGAAGGAGGTGGGGGATGGCGTGTGGGGGTTGGGGTGTGGGAACAGAGTGAACCGGGTGGGCTCGGAAGACTCTCGGCGCTGGGACTCGAGGCCCGAGCGTGCGGACGACACCGCGGAGGAAGTCTGCGGCCAGGGGCGTGGCTGGGGGTGTGTACTGCACGGCGTGCCCCCGCTCCGCCCCGCGTTCCAGGTTTTCCCTCTGGTCCCGCCCTTCTTCTCCAGAGCGACAGGCCCGTCGACCAACCAGAGCCGCGGGCCGGGCGCGGCACAGCCAACCACGCGGCGGAGGGCGGAGCTGGGGAGGGGGCGCTCAGAGCCAGGGGAGGGGGCTCGGGGCCTCTGAGGGCTCCGCAGCCGCGACGCGCGAGCCATGGCGCTGGGGCTGCAGCGCGCAAGGTACTGGGATTCGGGGGCAGGGATGATGGGAATGAGGGGCTCTCCTTGAGGAGACCCCAGAGCTGGGCGCTGGGGGGGGTGCGCGGGTGCGAGCCAAGAACGCCCCGGAGCGCGCAGTTGGAGGCACAACCCCGCCGCACCCTCCACCCTCGGGGACTGCAGGAGTGGGGGATTTCCCCATGTCCCCGGCTGCCCCGCCCCTCTCGCCAGGAGCTGCTTGGGGGGGTCCCCGATTTCCTGCTACCCGGGCTCGCTTTCCCGCCTGGTTGGGGGTGAAACTTGGGGCTCCTGCGGAATTGGAGGTGGTGGCATCCGAGCAGTCCCCTGGGCTTCTGCGGGTGGTATTATTCCTCCACGTATTGGCCTCTGAACCCCTAGAATTGAGGTTGTGCTTTACTGTCGGATCCCTGGGATCCTGGGAGACTTGGGGTACCCTAAATTGAAACTTCCCAGATATAGGGAGTCGCTTCGAATGGGGTTCAGCTCTCGAACTCAAGAGAAGAGAAACCTTCTCCTTTGATTGGATCCTTCCTGACAGTCTCCCAAACCTTGGGTTTCCCTAAAAGTGGGCAGAGGGGTCCCCTTTCAGAAGCTGCCTGGGACCCTTCCCAGGGGCCTTTTAAGTTCTTTTAAAAGGCAGTATCATTTCCTTAAATAACAGGGAAACAAGCCTGACCACTTCCCAAAGTCTGGCCCCCCATCTCACTCCTCCATACTCATACTAAAGGACTAAGTGGGGGACATGCATGCCTTATTTTGGGTAGGCCCCATGGGAGGCGCTGTACCCCATTACAGTGTAAAACCCTGCAAGCCACAATAGAAGCGCACCCTGCCGCAGGGCTCAGCTGGGGTCATCCGGGACAGAGGGTGGGTTTCTGGGTTGACCTCCCCACAGGTGCAGATCTGCTGGGGCAGAGGGGACCTGTGCTCTGGGACAGCTGTCAGGGGGTCCTATCTGACCATGTTTTCATGGGACTCTGGGAAATGTCCCAGGTCCTTGGTTTTCCCTGTCCAATCTGAGACATCCAAAAAGCCTCACCCCCTTCCCTCCTCCCTGGCTTCGGAGGTCTGATTGGATCCGTCCACACCCCCATTTTTTTTTTACCACCACCCCTCACCCCCGCCCCATTTCTATTCCAGTCCCTGGCTCTGGGCCGACCAGGGAATTCCATACCCCCTTCTGGGCCAGCAACGGCCCCGCCTCTCCTAGCGCCCCCTCCTGGCTGGGTGGGGGCCCCTCTTGGCTGAGCTGGGGTCCCCACCCACCCACGGCCAGCCCTTTCCTGTGGTGTCGTCTCACCGCTGCGCACCTCCCACTCATAACTCGCACCCGGATCCCGGCCGTGTTCGGTCCCCTCCTGCGCCCCCAGGATGGCACTTCAGCCAAAAGGGGCCTGGGCGATGGTGAGTGGGACCCCCACACCCCTTTAACCCGCTTCCCCTCTTCCAGCTCAGCCTGGCTGCCATCCCACTCTGAGCAGGGATGTTCTGGGAAATCCCTGATAGGTACAGAGCCTTGGGTACTGACGGGGCAGGGGGCTTCTGGAGGAGACAGGACTTTGGGGACAGACACCCCCACTGGATAACCATGTATTTGGGAACATGCAGAGTCAGGGAGCAAAGAGACCCCCCCGACCCTCCCCCCAAATCCCTTCTCAAACCCAAGCCCTGCCTCTGGCTTCTCAGGCCACCTACAGGCAGTGCCAAGGATCCTTACCTAGGCACAACCTACACCCCCACCCCCAACCCTTTGTGTTTTTTGCAAGACTCCCCAATTCCCAGCAGAGTTTCAGAAGTGAGAGTTCCAGAAGCAGCCCTGAATATGGGGTGGGGTCTCCCTACTTTCATCCTGCCTTTGCTTATGGGTGGCAAGTTCTTCAGGACAGGGAAGAGGTGGGCTTCTCTCTCTCCTGGTTGTGAAGGGGGGAGGGGGTGTGCTGGGCCCCAGTCCCCCTTCTCAAGCCTCATCCTGAGGCCTCTGGGCCCTGGCCCCACCCCCTGTTCTCGGCTGGAACACGGAGGAAGGGTGGCAGGGCTCCAGCTGCACGTCCCAAGCTGGGCATAGTGCCAAGGGGCTGGGCCAGGGCTGGGCATGGGGCCAGATGGAGAGATCCAGAGGCAGCAGTGGTGGGACGGGGGAAGGGACTGAGGCCACAACGCAAAGGAGGGGCAGGGTAGGGGCCCCTTGGGTGGTGGGCACACTTGCCAAAAGCACAAGCCCTTAAGTCAGGGTTCAAATCCCAGTTCACCCACTTCTGGGCTGAATGGCCAGTGACTGCATTATTATTATTATTATCATCATTAGAATCAGGGTCTCACTCTGTTGCCCAGGCTGTAGTGCAGTGGATGGTCACGGCTCATGGCAGCCTCAATCTCTGGGCTCAGGCAGTCCTTCCATCTCAGCCTCCTGAGTAGCTGAGACTACAGGCATGTGCCACACTATGCCCAGTTACTTTTTTTACTTTTTGTAGAGATGCAGTCTCGCTATGTTGCCCAAGCTGGTCTCGAACTCCTGAGCTCAAGTAATCCTCCTGCCTCAGCCTCCCAAAGTGCTGAGATGACAGGGTGTGAGCCACTGCACTCGGCCAGTGACTGCCTTATTGAACCTTAGTTTCACTTCCAGGAAAATGGGGGTCATACCTCCACTTTCCCACCCCAGAGCAAGATGAGGAGCCAGTGAAGAAGCAAACCTGGGGGGAGTGAAGAAGCAGACCTCGGGGGGAGTGGAACACTCAATAAAATGAGATCAAGCCAGAGTTTTGGCAGAAGCAGACAGACCTGGCTTGAATCCTGGCTCTGCTACTAAAAGCTGTGTGACCTCAGGCGAGTTCTATTACCTCTGGGGCCTACTTTCTCTCCAGGAAAATGGGGAAGGGAAAACCAAGTACTGTACACGGTTGGAGGAATAGAGAAATGCTTAAGCATGGTTGAGCGTCCATTGATGGAGGGTACTTGGGTCACTTGGACTGGAGGTGCCATTGCTACAACCCTAAGTTTCTGCCTCTGTTAGAGGGAGATCACTTCTCCTGCTCCAGACGGTGGTTGTAAGGATGGAATGGGGGGACTTCTAGCTCCATGAATGTTCAGTACACCAACGCTCTCTTTATTACTATCACAAATACTTATTCCTCCCTCAAGGTGCTGGTGTAAAAACCATGGAATTGCACACACATGCTGCACCATAGGGTTACTATTAAAAGTCCACAGGTTACTCCAGTACCCTCGAGGCTCCTAAGTTCAAGCCTTCCATCCCTGACATGCACAAAGGGAGAATAATAAGTTTAGTGTTTACATAGCACTAACCAATTGCCAGGCCATCTTTTCTAAGCCCTTGATGTATATTAACTCATATAATCTTTAAAACAACCCTGTGAGGTAGTGTCTGTTACTGTCCTCAGGGAGGCTATGCAGCTCGTCCAAAGTCACACAGCTTACAAGTAATGGAATGGGGATAAGAACCCTAAACCAGAGGAACTAGCCTCCCTGCCCCCAACTCTGTGTGTGTGTGTGTGTGTGTGTGTGTGTGTGTGTGTGTGTGTGTGTGTGCTTTTTTTTTTTTCTTTTTTATTTATTTATGTATTTATTAGTCTGGGCCTCACTCTGTTACCCAGGCTGGAGTGCAGTGGGCATGATCATGGCTCGTTGCAGCCTTGATCTCCTGAGCTTAGGTGATCCTTCTGCCGCAGTCTCCCGAGTTAGGACTACAGGCATGTGCCACCATGCCTGGCTAATTTTTCTTTTCTTTTGTTTTTTTGTAGAGACCAGGTCTTACTATGTTGCCCAAGCTGGTCTAGAACTCCTGGGCTCAAGCGATCCTCCCTTCTTGGCCTCTCAAAGTGCTGGGATTATAGGCATGAGCCACTACGCCTGGCTGTTTATTTTTATTTTGAGTTGGGGTCTCACTCTGTCACCCAGACTGTAGTGCAGTGGCTTACAGTTTACTGCAGCGTCAACCTCCTGGGCTCAGGCAGTCCTTCTACCTCAGTTCCCAAGTAAATGGGACTACAGGCACACCAGGCCTGGCTGCTTCTTTTATTTTTTTGTAGAGACACGATCTTGCTATGTTGCCAAGGCTGATCTAGAACTCCTGGGCTCTAACAATCCTCCTGCCTGGGCATCCCAAAGTGCTGGGATGACAGGCATAGGATTACAACACACTGGCCCCCAACTCTGTTTAACTAGAAAAGTCCACATTTCCCATTAGAACGTCAAGTGAACAGGCTGGGAGCTGGAAGGAGGGTACCTCTGCAGACACCCGCTGGCTCCTTCTATGGAGGAAGCCCTGCCACAGAGACATGATTACAGAGCCCAGCTGCCTGGGAGGTGGGGCGCTGGCCCCACCCCCGTGCCTGTTCCCACCCCCTGTTCCCTCTGTCCAGGGCCCCCAGCTCAAGGAGGCCCACCCACACCCACCCTCTGGGCAGGAAGACAAACAGGGCTGGAACAGAACGGGACGGAATGTCCTCTTGGGTAGGCAGAACTGAGGCCCCTGCCCCCACCAGCAAGGAAGGAGGGGATGGGTGTGATATCTCACCCTTTCTACCCTCCACCCGCCTGCTTCTACCCTGCTGCCCTGAGGGCTTTTCCCCCCCCTTTGCCTCCAGACAGGAAAATCTTTCTGGGGGTCAGGCTGAAGTTGATGCCACTCCAGAAGTGGCCTCTGCACCCCTGAATTTAAGGGACAGCATCCCCTCCCATGGTTTCTGCTTCCAGAAGGTGGGACCCACAGGGGATTAGAGAAAAGACCGAAGGCTCTGAAACCTCACTGCCTGGATTCAAATTCCAGCTCTGCCAGTTAGTGACTTCTCGGGCAAAGAACTTCATCTTTCAAAGCCTCAGTTTCCCCTTTGTAAAATGAACGCTTGAAGTATCTCCCTCTTAGGGCTTCCCTGAGGTTTTTTTTGTTTTTTTTTTAAGACAAGTTCTCACTCTGTCACCCAGGCTGGAGTGCAGTGGTATGATCATGGCTCACCACAGCCTCAGACTCCTGGGTTCAAATGATCCTCCTACCTGAGCCTCCCAAGTAGCTGGGACTACAGGTGCATGCCACTACACCCAGCTCCCCTGAGGACCGAATGCGTGCATACAGGCAGAATACACAGCACAGTGCCAGATACATAAATGCTTAGCAAATGACAGCTGCTTACTATTAATGGTTGTATCAATTATATCAATATTATAAACATGGATAAGAGTATATACACGAGATGTAATACACCCTATGTTTTTATGAAAGTAAGAGGTTTTGGATTCAAACAGATCTGGAGTTTTAACATACGCTTGGAACAGGGCTGACAGAAAAAACTGCCTAAGTGGCAGATATTTCTGACAAAATTACACTCATTCTTCCAACCCCCACACGCAAAATGCAGGTATTTGGAGTGATTACAGGGCAGGGAGGAGTGGTAAACTGCTTGCTGGACAGAACAGGTTGATTTGCTGTGTCACTCTGGCGGGTCCCTGCCCCTCTTTGGGCCCCTGTTAGTGAGCGGGTCGTTAGACTTTGAGATCTATGTTCCAAGATTCTGAGGACTCAGCTCAGCTGAGGAAAGAGGGCCGGGGAGGGGAGTCTGGGAAGTTGTAAGGCAGGGGGCCTGGGAGGCTGCAGGCATCTTCATGTTCCCTCCCTCCTCTGGCCTCGGGCCAGCTCGGCCAGCCCCCTCCCAGCAGGAGGCCTCCCTGTCCCCTAAGCGTCCCTAGCCCGGGAAATAAACTGCAGATAAGTCAGGGAGGGGACAGAGCGGCTGCAGGCGCGCCTCGGAGAGGAGCGAGGCCCCAGAGGCAGCATGGGCTGGCGCGAGAACAGGTAAAATCCGGGGCTAGGAGGGACTCCAGAGTGTAGCCCTCCCAGGCCCAGAGAGCCCCGGGAGGTCGCCGGGGTCACCCAGCGAGGCCTGCACAGCCGCAGCCCTGGCCTCAAGGAGCCCGGGCCCCACGTGGCAGCGCCCCAAGTGCTCGTCCCGTCGTCCTCTTTCCGGGGACGCCACCGGTAAACGCTGCCCATGCCCTCAGGTCGAGCACGGAGCTGCGCAAGGAAAAGTCCCGGGACGCGGCCCGCAGCCGGCGCAGCCAGGAGACCGAGGTGCTGTACCAGCTGGCGCACACGCTGCCCTTCGCGCGCGGCGTCAGCGCCCACCTGGACAAAGCCTCCATCATGCGCCTCACCATCAGCTACCTGCGCATGCACCGCCTCTGCGCCGCAGGTAAACCCAGTCCCCGGGAATTCCAGGTTTGCCTCGGTCCCGCCCTCGGAAAGCTACATCCGGGGGAGGGCACCCTTCCGGGAATCCTAATACCGACACGGCCCCGCCCTCTGATGACGTCTTTTCCGTGGAGCCCCACCCCCTGGGAACCACGTCCCCGGGGAGTCCCGCCTCCTTAGAAGTCGGTCACTTGCAAGGCCCCGCCCCTTGGGAAGGCCCGCCACCTTAGGACTCTGAGACCTGCTAGCTCCCTCAGGCCTCTCAAGTCTTAGGATTTGGTCCCCTGGATCCTAATCTAAACGGCCCCCAACCTTTATGGCATCAGGGACTGGTTTCCTGGAAGATGATTTTTCCACGGATTGGAGGGAGAGGGAGGACGTGCAGTCAAACCTCACTGCTAATGTTAATCTGTATTTGCAGCGGCTCCCCAGCGCTAGTTTCACCGCCTCAGCTCCACCTCAGATCACCAGGCATTAGATTCTAGGAAGGAGCACGCAACCTAGATCCTTCACATGTGCAGTTCCCAATAGGGTTCGCGCTCCTGTGAGAATCTAATGCCACTGCTGATCTGACAGGAGGCGGAGCTCAGACGGTAATGTGAGCGATGGGGAGCAGCTGTAAATACAGATGAAGCTTCGCTGGCTGGCCCGCTGCTCACCTCCTGCTATGCAACCCGGGTTCTAACAGGCCACGGACTGGTACTGGTCTGTGGCCTGGGGCCTAGAGACCCCTGTCCTAGACTTTCCTCAATAGGCTCCGTACTCTCTAGATAAATCCCCTGGGAGGCTCTGCTGCCCAATTTTTCATTACTGTACTTGAGAGTCCCTTTTCCTTTCCCCTCCTTCTCGTTCGATCACATGTTCCCTTGTAGCCATCCATTAGAGTACTCCACTCTGCAGGAGACTTTGCCACACATGTGCACACATGTGTGCGTGCCCGTGCGCACACTCCTTGGAATTCTGGGACCCAGAAAATATTTTATTATGAGAGAAGTAGAGTCACTCCCTGGTAGGCTCTGCTCATTTGACTTCCCTGCCCCATGGAATTTTACTTCCCTGGGAGGCTTGGCTCACCAAGAATTCTGAGCCCCTGGAAAGCCTGCCCTCTGTTTCATATTCCAATTCCCCCTAGGCCCTGGCCCCTTAGAATTTTGACCCCTGGGAGTTCCATCCCCTTAGAATCCTGTCCTAGGAGGCCCACACCCTTAGAATTTTATTTCTTTGAGTGACCCCTGCTTCCTTAGAATTCTCTCCCCCTGGGAGGCCCTGCTTCTAATTTAAGTGCTTGCTGGTCATGCCCTCTTCCTTGGGTATCCAAGTCACTAAGATGTGCCCCTACTCATCTTGGGGTACATGTAAATTCCTCTGAATGAGGAAAGGCAGAGGGAGGCTAGCCAGGATGGGCCCATGACTGACTAGAGATGCCCCATCCCCTACCCGGGCACCAGGGGAGTGGAACCAGGTGGGAGCAGGGGGAGAACCACTGGATGCCTGCTACCTGAAGGCTCTGGAGGGCTTCGTCATGGTGCTCACCGCCGAGGGAGACATGGCTTACCTGTCGGAGAATGTCAGCAAGCACCTGGGCCTCAGTCAGGTGAGAGGAGCTCCCTGTTCTATGTGTGGCCCTGTGCTGGTGATGCTGGGGATACAGTGGTGACCAGGATGGCCCTAGCCCTGCCTTTATGGAACTCACAATACAGAGGGGAGACAGGTCTGTCACCAGATACGGGTCTAGCATGGTCAGGGCTGGGATAGGACATCCTAGGGGACTGTAGGAGCCCAGGACTGTGGATATCTGACCCAGCCTGGGGGAAATCAAGGGCTTCCTGGAGGAGAGGACATCTGAACTGAAACCTGAAGGACTTAGCCAGTTGAAAGGGCATGGAGGCCAGGCTCAGTGGCTCAGCCTGTAATCCCAGCACTTTGGGAGGCTGAGGTGAGTGGATTGCCTGAGCCCACGGGTTCAAGACCCGCCTGGGCAACTTGGCAAGACCTCATCTCTACAATAAATCAAAAATGAGCCAGGCATGCCTATAGTTCCAGCTACTTGGAAGGCTGAGGCGGAAGGATCGCCGGAGCCCAGCAGGGCAAGGCTGCGGTAGCCAGGAGCAGGCCACTACGCTCCAGACTGGGCGACAGAGTGAGACTCCAACTCAAAAAAAAGAAAGAAAGGGCATGGGGAATGAATGGGACCAATGAAGATCGAGAATGTGTGTGGCAGAGGGAACAGAACAGGCAAAGGCCCAGGGGTGAGATAAAATAGAGTACCTGGGGCCAGTCACAGTGGTCCATGCCTGTAATTCCAGCACTTTGGGAGGTGGAGATGGGAGGCTCACCTGAACCCAAGGGTTCAAGACCAGCCTGGGCAACATAGTAAGACCTTGTCTCTATGAAAAATAAAAAAAATTAAGAAAACTATCTGGGTGTGGTGGTACACACCAGTAGTCCAAACTACTCAGGAAGCTAATGCAAGAGGATCATTTGGCCCAGGAGCTGGAAACTACGCCATGATCATGCTACCGCACTCCAGCTTGAGCAACAGAGTAATAGCCTGCCCCCCCAAAAAAAAAACTAAGAGCACTTTGGGGGAATAAAAAAGTTTATCCTGGCTAGGTGCAGAGTGCAATGGGAGAAGTTGAGAAGGAAAGGCTAGAGAGATCAGCAGGGGCTAGATAATTTAGGGCCAAATTAGAAAGTTTATCTCTATGGCCCTATGGAGCCTTGGAAGAATTTTACACAGGGGAGAGGCTGTGCAAGAGAAGTAGAATCATTTATATTTTCAAAAGATCCCTCTAGGTGTCACATGAAGATAGAGTTGAAGGGAGTGTGACCAGAGGATGGGAGATCAACAAGGGATGGATGACAGTCTCAGGTGGGAGAGAGGAATAGGGACAGGAAGATAGACTAGGGAATGGAAAGGTAGAAAAAAGAGACATTTAGAAAATAGAACTGGCTGGGCATGGTGACTCACATCTGCAATCCCAGCTGAGGCAGGAGGATTGGCCTGGGCAACACCCTCCCATCTCTAATTAATAAGAAAAGAAAAAAGGGGAAGTAGAACTAATTTTAATTAATCCTTACAGCAGACCCCATGAGAGAGTTCCCATTCTTTTTAAGATTTCACATAAATGGATTTCATAGTTGGTATCTGTTCCTTTTCCCTGCCTTGTTACCCCACTCCTGGTACCAATTTATCATTAGTATGAGCTCTTGGACTTAGAGAGGCGAAGGTCCCTATGTCCTAAAGCTAGGAAGTGGCAGAGCCAGGATTTGAATCCAGCTACAAGAGGCACTTTCCTCCATTCACTGCCACCACTCACATTGTGAGCCTCTATGGGTCCCCTTTCATCTGTGTCCCAGCACCAGACTCATTTTCTAAATTGGAATGAGAAGTTAGGTTTTTGGCATGCCAAACAGGTGTGATTTGAGTGGGGTGTCATCTCAGGCCTTGTCACTTGCAGTTCCCTCTTACTCTTACTGCAGAGAGCTACAAGTCCACCTCACTTGCCTTGTTGGGCAGTTTTTTTTTTTAAACATCACCTCCTCAAAAAAACTGTCCAGGACCACTGTCTCTAAAGTATCATCTCTTACCCTGCTTTCGTTTTCTTCATGCAACTTGTCATATTATTATATGTTCTTTGGCTTATAGTCTGTTTCCCCCCACTAACCAGCAAGCTCTGAAAAGCAGGCATTATGTGTGGGCACTAATGCCATTTAGAAGAGGGCCTGACAAATAGTAGATGCTGGTCAGTAGATGAATTAATGAGCAGGGAGACTGGTGAAGTAATCCAGGCTTGTGAGTTGGGGCAGAGGGATGAGGATGGAAGGGAGGAGAAGGGTCAGAGGCCCTGATGGACACCCACTCTGCTCCCGTCCCTGGCAGCTAGAGCTCATCGGACACAGCATCTTTGATTTCATCCACCCCTGTGACCAAGAGGAGCTCCAAGATGCCCTGACCCCCCGGCAGAGTGAGTTCCCTGGAGGTCTCTGTGCCCATCATACAGATGAGGAAACTGAGGCTCTACTTCTTCTTCAGCATATCTCCTTCCTGGGGACACTGGACTGAAAGAAGTGGGAAGAGGAGAAATGGCCCTGCCCTGGGGTCTTAGGGGACATAGATGACCCTGTCCTGGGAATCTGAGGAGACATGGCCCAACCCTGGGCTCCAAGGGGCACACACTATACCCCTGGGGACCCTCTCTGGTTCTATGTCCCAATTTGGGGGATAAGCTGGAGAGACTTTAGCCACCAGGGTGCTGAGAGAGCTGAGCCCTGTCTGCAGCTGCCTAGTGACCTGTCCCAACCCCCTGGCCCTCCCCAGGCCTGTCCAAGAAGAAACCAGAAGCCCCCACTGAGCGATGCTTCTCCTTACGCATGAAAAGTACCCTCACCAGCCGCGGGCGCACCCTCAACCTCAAGGCGGCCACCTGGAAGGTGGGCAGGGCCTGATATGGAGGAGGGTGAGGGTGCCCGGGGCCTGCTGGGGTGGAGCCTGAGCTCCTATCAAGATCTTGATGGGAGCTGGAGTCCCTGAGTCTCCTGGGCTGGGGAACCTGCGAGGCTCTCTTGGGCTGGGTGCAGTGGGTCCTCAGGGCATCCGGGAAGTTGGGTGTCTGTGGAGTTAGGATCTGGAGGGGGCCCTTGTATCCTTTCTTAGGATGGATCTCTGTGGGCCTGGGGCTGGGGTCCTCAGACCCCTTGAACCTGGAGTCTCCATGGGGTTGGAATCTGGAGGAGTCAGGGATTTCTTCTGCTCAGCTCCCTTTGGGGCCCACGAGGCACACCTCCCAGTCCCATGGGTAGCCTCAGGCCCAGATGCATCTCCACCCTGCCCCTATCCCGACCCCCAGGTGCTGCATTGCTCTGGACATATGAGAGTCTACAAGCCCCCTGCACAGACTTCCCCAGCAGGGAGTCCCAACTTGGAGCCGCCCCTGCAATGCCTGGTGCTCATCTGTGAAGCCATCCCACACCCGGGCAGCCTGGAGCCCCCGCTGGGCCGGGGGGCTTTCCTCAGCCGCCACAGCCTGGACATGAAGTTCACCTACTGTGACGAGAGGTGGGCAGGGCCCAGCTGCCCACCAGCCCCTCCTCTTCCCTGTGGCCAAGTTCATGTACTGTTTCCCATGTTTCTCTGTGTGTGTGTCTCTCTATCTCTCTCTTTCTCTCTCACATACACTCACACACACACACACACACACACACACACACACACACACACACTCTCTCTCTCTCTCTCTCTCCCACCTCTCTCTCCTGTCTCTCTCTCTCTCCCTCTCCCCCTCTCATCTCTCTCTCTCTCTCTCTCTCTCTCTCTCTCTCTCGTCCTCCTCTACCCCCTCACTTCTCTATCTCTCTCTTCTCTGTCTCTCCCTTCTCTCTGACTGCATCCATCTCTCTCTTCATGTGTCTGCCTGTCTCTGACTTTTCTGTGGGTCTTTTTGTCTGATTCTCTCTTGGTCTCTCTTTGAGTCTCTCTCCGTGTCCCTCTCTCCTTGTTCCTTCTCTTCAATGAGCCCATTTGTGTAAAGTATGGGTAAAGTGGCCAGTACCAGGAAGCACTCAGTCAACTGTCGTCATTAATTCTCCCTCTCTCCTTCCTTTCATCTGTTTTTCTCGCTCCCTCCCTTCCCTCTCTCCTGTCCCTTCCTCCATCTTCCCTCTTTCCCTCATCTTGGAGTCGTGCTTAGGAATGGCGACTTTGGTTTGTACTGCTTGGGTTTAAGTCCTGGCTGTGTATCCTGAGCCAGATGACTTCACCTCTCTGTGCCTCGGTTTCCTCAACTGTCCTGTGGACTCATAACAGAACCTGCTGTGTACAGTCCTTCTGAGCACTCACTGAGCTCCCCAGTACACAGCATAATAGAGGTGTCTTCTTTTTAATCATGATCATTATTACTTTTTATTTATTTTCATTCTTTTTCTCTTTGTGTTTTTCTTCCTGCCCTTCTCTTCCTCCTCTCCTATGTCTTGCACTTTCTCTCTTCCCTTTTCTACCCTCTCTCTCCCTCTCATGTGAGTTTCTTATTGCCGCTGTAACACATTACCTCAAACTCCATGGCTCCAAATAACACAAATTCACTGTCTCTGCATAATGGAGGTCAAAATTCGAGATGAGTCTTCCAGGGCAAAAATTGAGAGCTGTGTTCCTTCTTGAGGCTCTGGGGAGAATCTGTGACTCCGCCTTTCCCAGCTTCTGGAGGCCGCCTGCATTCCTTGGTTCATGGCCCCTTCCTCCATCTTTAGAGCACATCACTTCAACCCCTGCATCTACCTCACACTCCTTTTTTTATTTTCTTACATGTATTATTATCATTATCATTATTATTATTATTAGAGTCGTCGCCAGACTAGAGTACAGTGGTACGATCATGGCTCACCACAGCCTCAACCTCCTGGGCTCAGGTGATCCTCTCGTCTCAGCCTCCTGAGTAACTGGGACTACAGGTGTGTACCACCACGCCCAGTTAATTTTTTTTATTTTTGTAGAGACAAAGTCTCACTATGTTTCTTAGACTGGTCTTGAACCCCTGGGCTCAAGTAGTCCTCCCTCCCTGGCCTCCCAAAATGCTTGGGATTACAGACATGAGCCACCACACCTGGCTTTATTATATTTTTAATAGAGATGGGGAATCTCACTATGTTGCTCAGGCGGGTCTGGAACTCCTGAGCTCAAGCGATCCTCCCCGGCCTCCCAAAGGGATTACAGACCTGAGCCATCACACCTGGCCTGACAATTCCTTTTCTTATCTGACCCTCCTGCTTACCTCTTATAAGGGACTACACTGGGCCCACCTGGGTAACACAGGATCATCCCCCCCTTGCAAGATCCTTAACTTCATCAAAGTCCGTTTTGGCACAGAAGATACCATATTCACAGGTTCCAGGAAGTAGGATGTGGGCGTCTTTGGAGGTCATTATTCAGCTCACCTCTGTCTCTCACTCTTCCCCTCTATTACAATCCTATCCCTCTACATCTTGCTGGCTTTGTCCCTGTGTCCCCCTACTCCTTCCCTCTACGCACCCACCCCACTCCCAGCCAGCTGAACCCTGACCGGCCTCTGTTCCACCCCACCTCTCAGGATCGCAGAGGTCGCAGGCTACAGTCCCGATGACCTGATTGGCTGTTCCGCCTATGAGTACATTCACGCTCTGGACTCGGATGCCGTCAGCAAGAGCATCCACACTTGTATGTGTCTCATTTTCCCAGGCCCGGAGCCAGCTGCTACTTGCCCTCCCCTCACACACTAGGCCCCCCTCCCCCACCCCCCCACACCCTAGGGAGCCTTCCCCTTCCGCCCCAACACCATTTCCCTGCTCCCCAAGCCCCAGGGAAACTTCTCCTTCCCCTTCATACCCAGCCCCCAGAGCCCTTTCTCCCCAGCTGTTCCTTCTGTGCCCTGACCCCTCCCGTCCCCTTCCCCAGTGCTGAGCAAGGGCCAGGCAGTCACGGGGCAGTATCGCTTCCTGGCCCGGAGTGGTGGCTACCTGTGGACCCAGACCCAGGCCACAGTGGTGTCAGGGGGCCGGGGTCCCCAGTCGGAGAGTATCGTCTGTGTCCACTTCCTGATTAGGTAAGCAGGAGTGGTGGAAGTGCCTATGTGGGGGTCTGATCTGCATGTTTGGAGAGGGTGTATGTGTGCGCATGAGCATGCACGAGTATCATGTATAAGTAGGCGTGAGGCGCCAGGTGTGGTGGCTCACGCCTGTAATCCCAGCATTTTGGGAGGCTGAGGTGGAAGGATGGCCTGAGGCCAGGGTTCGAGACTGTGGTGAGCTCGAATGCCACTGCATTCCAACCTGGGCAACAGAGTGAGATCCTGACTTGATAAAAAAATGATAATAATAATAGTGTGTGGCCAGGCTCAGTGGCTCAGCCTGTAATCCCAGCACTTTGGGAGACTGAGGCGAGTGGATTGCCTGAGCCTATGGTTTCGAGACCAGCCTGGTCAACTCTACAATAAAATTTTTTTTTAAATTAACTGAGCATGGTAGCATGCGTCTGTAGTTCCGGCTACTTGGAAGGCTGAGGCAGAAGGATCGCCAGAGCCCAGCAGGTCGATGCTGGGGTGGCTGTGAGTGTGCCACTGCACTCCAGCCTGGGCGACAGAGTGAGACTCCAACTCAAAATAATAATAATAATAATAAAAGCATGTGTGAAGGAGTGTGTACATGCACATTTATGTGGAATGTGTGTGACCACGTGTCTGCATGTACAAGTGTGTGTGTATGGGTGTGTGTATTATTCATTTAAATTGGAAAGGACTCTATATTAAAGGCAAAATGAGAAATGCAACAGGCCAGGCACAGTAACTCACGCTTGTAATCCCAGCACTTTGGGAGGCTGAGGCAGGAGGATCACTTGAGCCCAAGAGTTTGAGAATAGCCTGGGCAACATAGTGAGACCTTGTCTCTATGGAAAACAATAATAGGCAGAGCGTGGTGGCTCACATCTATAATCCCAGCATTTTGGGAGGCCGAGGTGAGGGGATTGCTTGACCCCAGGGATTCGAGACCATCTGGGCAACTTGGCAAGACCTCATCTCTACAATTTAAAAAAAAAACTACAGGTAGTGCTTGCCTGTAGTTCCTGCTACTTGGAAGGCTGAGACGGAAGGATCGCCTGAGCCCAGCAGGTTAAGGCTTCAGTGGCTGTGAGCATGCCACTGCACTCCAGCCTGGGGGCAGAGTGAGACTCCAACTCAGAAAAAAAAAAAAAAAAGAAAGAGAAACAACTGGGTGTGTGATAACACGCACCTGTAGTCCCAGGTATTCAAGAGTCTGACTCAGGAGGATCACTTGAGCCCAGGAGTTAGAGGCTACAGTGAGCTGTGATCATACCACTGCATTCCTTCCTGCTTGGGTGACAAAGTGAGGCTCTGACTCAAGAAAAAAAATAGAAAGAAGGAAATGAAAGAGAATTACGGGTTTTCTTCTGCTTTTTTTAAAAAAATTGATATATAATTTACATACAGTAAATTCTCTTTTTGGTATACAGTTATCTGGATTTTGACAAATGCATGCGTTTGTATAACCACTACCACAATCAAGCTTTTGAATCCTTGCCCCAAAAGGCCTCTTGTAATTAACCCCTCTCCCACCCCAGTCCTGGCAACTACTGATCTATCCTTAGACCCTAGAGTTTTGCCTTTTCCAGAATGTCATATACAGGGAATCTTACAGTATGCAGCCTTTGGGGTCTGGCTTTTACTTGGCATGGTATATTTAAAATTCATCCATGCTGTGGTTGAAGTCAGTAGTTCCTTTGTAATGGCAAGCCTATTCCATGGTATGAATGGACTGCAGTTTGTTTATCCATCTACCAGTTGGAAGTCTTTGGGCTGTTTCCTATTTTGGGTAATTACAAAAACAGCTACTGTAAACACAATCTCCTGCAAGATTCTGTGAGATCACATGTTTTCATGTCTCTTGGGTAAACACCCAGGAGTGAAATGGAGGGGTTATATGGTAAGTGTATATTTAACTTATGAAGAAACTGACAGTTTTCCAAAGTGGCTACACAATTTTACATTCTCATCAGCAAAGTGTGTGTGAGTTCTGATTGCTCCACATCCTTGTCAGCTTTTCTTATTGTCTGGATTTTTGAGGTTTAGTTTTAATTTTAGTCATTCTTATAGATGTGTAGTGGCAAAATCATAGGCTTTTTTTCCCCTAGCATGCATCCCAGAGGTTTTTCACTATTTAGGAATGCAGGGATGTCAGTGACAACATTGTGATGGCCACCATTTTATCTCACAAGACAGAGATAGAATTATAGCTTTTCACTGAAGGTTATCTTATGAGAGATGGCACCATTTCTAAAGCCTTCGGGGTTTTGCTGGATGTGGGGGGGTGTTCTGAAACACAAATATATATATGTCTCACGCCTGTACTTCTCAGCCCTTCGGGACTCCCCAGTGCCCCCTACCTATTTTTTGAATCGGGGTCTCTCTCTGTCACCCAGGCTGGAGTGCAGTGGCACAATCACGAATCCCCATAACCTAGACCTCCTGGATTCAGGTGATCCCTCCGCTTCAGCTTCCCAAGTAGCTGAGACTACAGGTGTGCTTCCATATCCAACATTTTTTATTTTTTATAGAGCTGAGGTCTCGCTACTGAGGATACCAAAAAGATGTATACACATTTTTAAGAAAGGAAAAAACATATTAAAATTGTAAGTGAATACAAGTCACATTTGACTTGTGCAATTACAAGAAGTACTCAAAATAGTTACCATCAGCGTCCAGACACTTCTGATTATGGCAAACTAAAAGTAATACATAGATAACATCGCTTAAAACATGTGTACACTTTTTTGGCACCCATGATATACTGCCTAGGCTGATCTCAAATTCCTGGCCTCAAGAGATCCTCCTGCCCTCTCACCTCAGCCTCTCAAAGTACTGGAATCACAGACATGAGCCACTGTGCCTGGCCTCCCCAGTATCCTTAAGGGAAAGCCCACACGGCTTACCATGTCTCACCAGGCCCTATGAGGTTAATGCCTCCATTCCCTTCCCACTCACTCTCCAAACCTTAGGGCCTTTGCACATACAGGTTCCCTTGCCCAAAATGCTCTTCTCTTTTCCCTCTCTTTCTCCTCAGTCATGCCCAATTATCATTTCAGTCTGGCTCAGACATCACTTCCTGAAGATCCTTCTCCTGAGCCCCCACATTTCTCTTCTGGCATCCCTTACTTTTGCTCTAGAGCCCTTAAACCCATTTGCAATGGTTCCAGTTCATTTCTGTGTTCAGCCAGGCCTTCTTTGATTGCCCTTTCCAAAATTGCAAACCCCCTTTTCTGCTTTATTTTTTTTTCCCTAGTATTTATCACTGTCTAACCCAACACTGCCCTACAAAAATGTGCTGCTAGCCACATATGTCATTTTGAATTTTCTAGTAACCTTGTCAAAAAGGAAAACAGAAGCAGGTGAATTTAATTTTAATAATACATTTTACTATTCATGTTCAAAGTCACAGCTCATAAGTAGTAGAGCTGGGATTTTTTTTTTAGTTGGAATCTCACTCTGTCACCCAGGCTGGAGTGCAGTGGCATGCTCATGGCCATTACAGCTTCAACCTATTGGGCTCAGGTGATCCTTCTGGCTCAGGCTTCCAAGAAGCTGTAACAACCACAGGTGCACTCCACCATACCTGGCTAATTTTTAAATTTATTGTAGAGACGAGGTCTCGCCAAGTTGCCCAGGCTGGTCTCGAACCCCTGGGGGCTCAGGCAATGCTCTTATCTCCACCTCCCAAAGTGCTGGGATTTCAGGCATGAGCCACCACGCCTGGCCAAGCTGGGATTTGAACCCAGAACACTGGCTATGGTGCCCTTGCTCATAACCACTATGTAGTTCTGCTTGACTAGGAGTTAGATGTTTGTGGAATGAACAAATGAACTCCATGTGGCATATGTACATTTTTCCGAGTCCAAGTGTATGGAGCTTGTGAGCATATCTGTCCCTGTGTGCAATCAGGCATATGTGAGTTTTTCTGTTTGTGCCTGTGTGTACCAAGTGTGTGTACGTATGTGATTGTGTGTGCCTGTGTTTTTCAGGGGGAAAAGGGTGGCTTTGATCCAGCCTAAATTGGGATGTTTCTAGCCCAGGAAGGATTTAGTGAGGCTGGGGAGGGGCCGCGGCTTCTTAAAAGAGCTGGTGGAAAGACCAGGCCCACCTGCTTTCTGTCCTGTAGGGTGTTATTCAGATGAGATGCAAATGAGGGCCTAGTTTGAGGAGCCCCAGACCCACTCCCCAAAAGCCAATTTACCCAGTGAGCATTTGGATTGTCTCTGCAGTCAGAGACTGCACGAGGGGAGGTGCGGGGGACATAAGGATGTATTTATAAATCTGCTCCTTTGAATATGAAAAATATCTATGAATAGAAACATCATAAATAAAATCCTATTCATAAAAACACAGCCCTATGAATTCTTCATGTTTGGTAATGTCATGAAGACGATGTTAAAAATATCTTTTTCATCAATACATCTATAATAAAATGTTTGTAAGTAGATATCTATAAAGAGAGTATTTAGGTCTTAGGCCTTTCATTCCATCCCCTAAGCCC